GTCTCATGAGTAACTTTGTTTCATGGCCCACTGAATGGTTGAAATCAAATTAATGAGAAACCAAAATTTCAGGTTACATACGTTGTACTTAAGCAACTTTTCACAAGTTAGGATAAACTAATTAGGAGTTAGTAACTAATGCAACCTTCCTGAGCAAGAAAAAATCTAAAGATATTTCTACTTTGTTCTCTATACTTACCAATTTATTATTAGGTTCTAAAAGTTACTTTGGTTCTTAAAATTACAAAAAATTTGTTCAATTCATGATTTTTTTTATGTAACTACTAAAGCTTTTACTGAGATTCCTCATAAGCTCTTTTGGTTTTACCCGCATTTTATTTTCTATAGGTTTTTTGAATAAAAATAGATGTTAATCCTGATAAACTTAACAAGAACAGTTAATTTATTTTATTTAAGAAGTAAAAATGACAATAATTAATACAAAGGGAGAAGAAAAAGAATGAAATAATACTTTTTTTATTTTTTATTTTTTGCAATTCTTTGTTCTAAATAAAAATATTATATGTTTTAAGTCATTTTTACAGAAACTAGGCAAGATAGAAATAATTTTTACAATTTTTGAGAATACACTTTGACGCAAGTTTATAAATTTAGAACCATATTGTAAGGATATAGCCTATAGTTTCATAAGTAAATATGTGATTTGCCAAAACTAAATTATGCTTGGTTCCTGACAAATACCTAGATATAATCTTGCCTACTAAGAAGTCCAAATCAGCAACCTTGGTTCTTGAGGAAGTGTTGGTGGTTTTTGTCAGCAGCAGTTGAGATGTAGATGTTGTTTAACATCGAATGGATTGGGTAGTTCAGATTATTTAACAAAAAGGAGAAAGAAAGGATTTGTATTCGGGATGTTTTACATAAAGTTTTTCTTCCTATGCCATAACAGCAAGCATCTCAGTTTTTATTTTGAAATGGTATTAATCTTAGCAAAGACATTAAATTTATGGAGTTAGAACAGAGTGCTGGAAATGGGTAAGGCTTTATTGGCTTTCTCTCATATGCATTCTTTTGGTGTCACCGCACGTCAGCAACACCAATAACAAGTTTCCTGTCCACTGCTTGCTACCAATTGTGGGAGAGGAGAGAATTACTATAAACAATATTCAGCTCCTATATAAGCCTTTGTAAATTCGATTTTTATTGCGGAACAGTCTATTTCTCTTTTTATTGAATTATTTATTTATTTATTTCACTATTGTGCATTTTAGCTGACAGTTATAATTTTGGGTTGCTAGGTGGAGAAGTGGAATGAACAAAGGGAGAATGGTACATTTCCAGGACCTCTGTAGATGTTGCATGTTGGTTTCTCATATTCTGTTATAATCATATCTCACCGACTGAATCCCCCCACCTGTAATTCATGAAATTGGATTAAGATGGAGGTCTCTCGGGGAATATCCCGTTTTTAAAACAATTGAGTTAATAAGATATTTCGGCCCAGTCTGTTAGAACTTGCTTCTATCTGGATACAGAGAATTGTTTCTCATAAAAGAGAAGTTGCTTCATCATCTCTAGCATGAAGTTTTTCGTTATATCATTTTTTAACTTCCATTTTGTAACTGTTACAGATTTTCAGTTGACTGATTACATGGAGGATAAATAGACAATAAATATGCTTTTCTTTCTTCTCATAGAGAAAAGTTTAAGATTGTTAAACGAGTTCTCATTGAATTTTGGCTGCGAGTTTTGAAGTGCAAAATTTGATGCCTTAAACGAGTTTCATTGATGCCTTGACGAGTTAATATTGTTCAGATCCATTAGCTACCGTCTGAGTTCAAATCAATATTTTCCTTCCAAACTCCTGAAGAAAATTATTTTAACACCAATTCATGGTTTACGGGGTTGTTCCTGGCCTGATTGCAATTTAACCAGACAGATTTGATGACTTATTTAAAGGCAAAGTTCATTCACATCAAAGTTTAACAACTAAAATGCATTTGTTTAAACCAAACACAAATTCCAAAATCTATTCAACAACATATCTACCAATTAGATTCTTGTCCTGCTAAGGATAATAAATTATAATTTGCTAAATTTGAACCCCAAAAAAAAAAACAAAACAAGTTCCATATTCCATATCCCAATTCCTAAGAACTGAAGCACCAGAAAATCAAGCTCTTTCACCACGAATCCTCCTGGCAAGCTGAATGTCCTTCGGCATGATTGTAACACGCTTTGCATGTATGGCACACAAGTTAGTGTCTTCAAACAACCCAACAAGGTATGCTTCTGCAGCCTCTTGCAAAGCCAACACTGCGTGACTCTGGAATCGCAAATCAGTCTTGAAATCTTGCGCAATTTCACGAACAAGTCTTTGGAAAGGCAACTTCCTGATGAGAAGCTCAGTGCTCTTTTGATATTTCCTAATCTCACTGCATCACAAAATTAAGCAAAATATTTAAAATTCAATATGCAAAAACCAAACTCAGAACAGGAAAATAGGTCAAAGTGGCACGCAAATGTGCTGTAGGCCATGAGCAAAAGGCAATGAGTAACAAACCGGAGTGCGACGGTTCCAGGACGGTATCTATGCGGCTTCTTCACACCGCCGGTGGTTGGTGCCGACTTGCGGGCAGCCTAGAATGGAAACAAAAATTCTATACTGAGAAAAAGAAACAAATAATTGGATTGAAAAAAAAAGACTGCTAAACAAAAGGAGAATGAGCAGACCTTGGTAGCCAATTGCTTCCTTGGGGCCTTTCCTCCAGTGGACTTACGAGCGGTTTGCTTCGTACGGGCCATCTACAGTAGAAAACACAATTTATCATTGATACATGCGTCAAAACGCCGAGAAGGAACAAAGTTGTCCCAGTTTCTCAAATTCATCGTCTTGATTTGTACGACGCATATAAACTAAGCTCATGATGTTTCTTCAAATAGAAATCTATAGGAACTTGATTTCCTATTATGAAATACTAAATAATAAAACCAGAATAGCAATAGCATACTCTTCCGGAACACGAACAAATAGTCATTTCCCAGAAACCCTAATTTCAAGAACCAGTAATATGAAAGATGTGGATCTTAAAATTAAAAATTCTCAAGAACAAAGTAAATCGCAGATTAGGTTAAATAATTAATCAACCCACAAGAGCCGGATGATTAAAAGGGTGCAACGCTGCTTTGATTTCAAATCAAGCGTTTAAAAACTCCAAAAAATCTCCCCAAACTCAAAAGCATGACGATCGAGAAAACCGGAAGATTAAAAGAGAAGAAGGGTAAATTTCCCTTACCTTGATGATTGTTTAGCTACAAATCCTGACTTGCAGAAGATGGAAGACGAATAGATTGCTTGAGAGCGAAGTAGAAGCCTTAAACGAGCAACGAAGGAAATTTTCAGAGAATTCAATGAGAATGATCGCGACCACTGTATTTATATAGAATGAGAGATCCGTGACCGACACGGAATCGGACGGCTGGAAAGTACTTTTCCTGTGCTTCCTGGATCTTCAAGCGAACGGTTAAGATGCGCGTTTTAAAATTTGTGTCGGATCACCACATTAAAATACTGGGTTCCTATTGGCCGAGACTTTGGATTTAACTTACAAAGCACAACATAAAAATGTCAAAACTTTCAGTTGGCTAAAATAAGCACAATGCCCAGTTTTATGGTAATGACATAAAAGTGTCGAACTGGGTTGGTATCCTTCAGTTATTGGAGTTTAAATTTAAAATAAATATTTTAATTTTAACTCTTATTTAAAGTAAAATTAATATATAAATATTATGTTGTATTAAAGAATGTTTAATTCATTTTAAACAGAATTCAATTTTAACTTTTAAAATTTTAAAAGTTGTTTGATTTTAATTTAATTTATTTTTAGATTAAGTAGAAGATAATTTAGATCTTAAACTCAATATCTCTATTAAAATGGGGCGGAACTATTTTACATAAGAAGTTATATATGCTATCGTATCACGTTTTATTATTAATGAACCTAGAAGTAAAAGAGACCAGCAAATATTTATAAAAAAAAAAAAACACACATCTAAAAAAGGAGACTATATACGCACATGGTTCAATTTTCTTTTAACTAATATGGCAAAAGAGATCATTCAGGACTAACATGAAGATAAATATTCATAATTTAAATTTGATTTAATATAATTTTGTTTATGAAAAATATAATTTCTGAGTTATATCGAGTTTGAATTAATAGACAAGTAGAGGTAAGTTGGAATAGAATTTGAATTTGATATTTCAAACCTTGTCTAAATTTGATTCACTATATGTATGTAATATACATATTTTTAACTCATTCTTATTATCAATATATTTATATATAATATATTAATAAATATTATTTTTTTTATTAAACACATGTATAATTAATTATATCTATATTAATTTAATAAAATAACATAATTAAATTTGAATTAGGACATGGTTTGAAAAAACTATCATGAGTCAAAGTTGAGTTCATGTTTAGGTTTTATAGGGGCGAACTGAATTCTGGTTTAATGAAATTTAC